AGGGGCGCGCGTCGGCCCCCCAGGAGGGCCCAGACAGACGCGCCCCCCCCCCCGCGGGAGGGCAGGGGTTCGCCAGGGTCTCTCGGACGCGTCGCTCTGCCCCGCGCTGCCTCCGCCTCCGCCACCACCACCACCACAAGTTGGAGGGAAGGAGGAGGAGGAGGAGGAGGAGGAGGAGGAGGAGGAGGAGGAGGAGGGAGAGGAGGAGGAGGAGGAGGAGCATGAGGAGGAGGAGGAGGAGGAGAGGAGGAGGAGGAGGTGGAGGAGGAGGAGGACCCCCTCCCCCTCCAAATTATGGTGGTGGTGGTGGTGGTGGTGGTGGTTGAAAACAGGCTCATCCCCTCTTCCCTCGCCGTCTCCTCGTCGTGGTCCCCCGCACCTCCTCCAGCGGCAGCTCGCCAGCGTCTCACATCCCTTCCTCTCCTCCTTCTCCTCCTCCTCCTCCTCCTCCTCCTCCGCCTCCTCCTCCTCCTCCTCCTTCCCCCTCTGCCTCTTCCTGCTCTGTACAGGGGGTATTGATGCCTTGCCTCGCTTCCTCCTCCTCCTCCCTGGATTCGTGTCGCATGATCTTGCGATTGATATGTGATATGTGCGATGTGCGTCTTCATGGAGCCTTCCGTCCTCTTCCTCTGCCTCTCTTCATGCCTCCACCTCGTCCCCACGAGGGAGTCGCGACGCGGTGGGTGTTCGCATTGCGCTTGGATCCCCACCTATTCGTTGTGGGTGTACTTCTTGACGCCTCGCGCTTGCCTAGGCGAGTGATTCAGAGAAAGGGAGTGCTGGAGCACATGAAACCAGTGAAACAAACAGGGGCCGTCCGTCAAATCGAGGTTCGGCATTATGGAGAGCAGACCCTGGAGTCAACCATGAAAAGTATCTTTTGAGCTCGCGCTGAACGATTTACACGATGCTGAAGCGAGCTCGAGCGGATCCGATCAGTGGCTGATCTGGGGACCTATATGCGAGCTTCTTGGCGGCTTGCCTGGCCCATCTTGGGCATCGAATCAGAGTTCGTTTGGAGCCATCTTTGGGGCGCTTGGGCTTGGGGGTCTTTGAGCTTGCTTGAAGCATGGAAGCCACCGATAAAAATAGGGGTAGTCCTACACCACTGCTCACTGCCGCCCCCCTCAGAACTAGTACTATCGCATTCTGGGGGCTCCCTCGTAAGTCACTTGTGGTAGATACTATTGGCGGCCATTGGCTTCATCTGAGAACCGCCAGATGAGGAGTCGGATGAAGAGGGGAAGTACAAAGGAGAGGAGGACGAGGAGGAGGAGGAGGACGACGACGACGCCCCCTGACCTTCAGGGTGCTTGCGACGGTGCTCGTCGCGAGTGCGCATTTCGCAACTTGCTTACCCGCGCCCCCTGTGTCCCTCGCACTGGCAGGCGGGTCTGCGCGCGGGGGGCGCGCGTGGCCACCAGCACGGGTAGGTATCAGGATGCGGAGGTCGTCGTTTTGATTCCCAGCCATCCTGCAGCGTTGGGTCTCCGTGTTGGAAAGACGACGCCCCGCGTTCATTCCTTTCTCCCTCCCCTCCTCCCTCCCCCTCCCCCTCACCCTCTTTCCCGCTCCTCAGGCCTCCAATCCTTGCCTCTGCCCTCCGCATGCCCATGTCGGCACACCCCTCACACGCTTTGTGGCCCCCAGGGAGCTCCGCCGAAGGCCTCAGTGGCAGGGCTCGCATGGCGCCAGCGCGCCCATTTCGGCCCACCCCTCACACGCTTCGTGGCCCCGTAAGGGGCTCTGCCCAAGGCCCCAACGGCAGGGTTCGCCTGGCGCACCGCACCCATCTTGGCACACCCGTTACACGCGCCGTGGGCCCCATGAGGAGTTTCGCCGAAGGCCTCAGTGGCAGGGTTCACATGGCGCCACCGCAGTTCGGATCACCCCTTACACGTTTCGTGGCCCCATAGGAGACCTCCGTCGAATGCCCCGGTGGGTGCGTTCGTATGGCGCCACCGCCGATTCCGGCGGACCCAACGCGTGTCGTGGCCTCACAGGGGGCTCTGCCTAAGGTCCCAGCACCAGTGTTCGCATGGCGCCACCGACACAATTTCGGTACATACCTCACACGTCTCGTGGCCCCATAGCTGGCCCCAACGAAGGCCACAGGGGCAGGGTTCGTAGAACGCCACCGCAACCACTTCGGCATATGTCTCGCACGTTTCGTGGCCCCACAGGGAGCTTCCCCGACGGCCCCCCTGGCAGGGTTCGCCTGGCGCCACCGCACCCAGTTCGGCACACCCCTCACACGCTTCCTGGGACCATGGGAGACTCCGCCGAAGGCCCCAGCAGCAGGGCTCGCATGGCGCCACCTCCGATTTCAGCATGCCCCGCACACGCTTCTTGACCCCATAGGGTGACTCCACCGAAGGGCCCAGTGGCAGGTTTCGCATGGCGCCCCCGCACCCATCTTGGCACAACCCTTCAAGCGTTTCGTCGCCCCAGAGGGAGCTCCGCCGAAGGCTTCAGTGGCAGCTTCCGCCTGGCGCCACCGCACCCATGTCGACACACACACACACACACCCACACACCCACACACC